CCTCTTGAGTAGCTTGGATAACAGGTGTGCACTACCATGCCTGGAAAACCAGAATAATTTTTGTGAGGTCTATTGATATAGAAGTATTTAGTTCACTGTTCATCTATTTTAGAATTTGTATTTTCTAGTTTTTAAACTAGAAAATACATTTAAACAAAAAATTTTAAGTCTCTGTAATACTTTCAGAACTCATAAAATTTTGTTTTCTTTTGTAGTGTTGGGGATTGAACCCAGGTCCTTGCAAATGCTAGGCATGCACTGAGCTATCCCCAAATCCTTCATAATGTTTTTAAGATGTTTTTTTTTTACTTCTCTTCACTTCTTCCCCACCCCCACCCCCTTATTTAAGTTATGCATTGGTAACTCAAATATATCTTGGAGGCCAGGCAGGAAGTGTGAATGAGAAAATTTGATCTGTTGGGTTCTGTGTTACATTGGGGGTTCTATAGTCTACCTAAAGTAGTTTTTTGTTGTTGTTGTTTTGTTTCTTTAAAATTTTTAACACATTATGTAATGGATTTGTGACTTTCATATTAACTGTGAAAGAACTATTAAAGATTGCATAAAATTTAGTTTATGTTTCTATTTGAAACTGAATCATTAAACAAAAATTTAAGTAATTATACTATTATTCTTTTATACCCATCTGAAATAATATTTACATAATAATAGCTCCTTAATTTTCCCAGGTACATTTTTCCCCTTAAGATTGCTTTATGTATTTTAATTATTCATTTTCATGTCTAGTTTCTGGTAGTTTATTGAGGACTAAGAGCATATTTATTAGTTCTAGTAGGAGCTCAATACATTTGTGTTAAATATTGCATAAAGTAGCAGGCATACATTAAACAGGGAGAGATTGTTTAAAACTAAAATGTGAGGGTAGTCTAGCATAACATTTCTTTCTTTTTATTTGTATAATGATTTGGAATACTGTGTCTGCACTATTTTTTTTTTTTTTTTTTTCGGGGGGTGGGGGGCATCAGGGATTGAACTCAGGGACACTCAACCAATAAGCCACATCCCTAGCTCAGTTTTGTATTTTATTAGAGACAGAGTCTCACTGAGTTGCTTAGCACCTTGTCATTGCTGAGACTGGCTTTGAACTCCTGGTCCTCCTGTCTCAGCCTCCTAAGCTGCTGGGATTACAGGCATGCACCACTGTGCCCAACTGTATCTCCCCTAAATTTTACCTATGTTTCTTGGGAATCACTAAGAATGTTAATGATGATACATCCATGTTGGGTTTGATTTTGACAAATCTCTGCACACATGATGACCAAACAAGTTCATCACAAATAGCTAATGATACAAGAAAAGGTCTGGAGCCGGACATGGTGGCATATACCTGTAATCCTAGCAGCTCAGGAGGCTGAGGCAGGAGGATTGTGAGTTCAAAGCCAGCCTCAGCAAAAGTGAGGCACTAAGTGAATCAGTGAGACCCTGTCTTTAAATAAAAAATACAAAATAGGGCTGGGTATGTGCCTCACTGGTCAAGCGCCCCTCAGTTCAGTCCCTGGTGCCAAAAACAAAACAAAAAACTGTTTTTAGAAAATATAATGAAATTTTAGTATCCCTTGAATGAAGAAGGGATTTGGAATTTGCACACCTCAGTTTTGTTTCTAGCAATGATGTTTCTAGCAGTACTGATAGTCACAGATCTCTTTGGGTGATTGTTTTCCTTTTTCTTCTTTTTATACTACTGGGGATTGAACCCAAGGCCTCATGCATGTTAGGCAAGTACTCTACCACTGAGCTACATCCCAGACCTTTTTATGTTTTATTTTGAGGAAGGATCTTGCTAAGCTGAACAGGCCTGGAACTGAAATCCTCCTGCCTCAGCCTTCAAGCAGCTGGGATTACAGATGTGCACCACCACTTCTAGCTGGGTCAGTTATATTTCATCTGTAAAGTGATAAAGGACTTGATCATCTAAAATTGTTCTGTCCCTAAAATGATCTAATTCTAAAATGCTGTAATTTCTAAATGAAATGTTAACACACAGTGAATGACCTTATCTCATTTTAAGAAGAGTTTGATCAGTTTATTGAAAAATATCTAATACTGTGTGTGCACGCCTGCACGTGCATGTGTGTTAAAGAATTCTAGAAAGATAAAGAATAAATAGGTAGTAATTACTAGGTCTGGTAGGAGGGGACCTGGATGGCTGGTGGGAAGAGATCTTTTATTTATTATACTTTCCTTTGTGTTTTTTGAATTTTATAACATGTATTTGATTATCCATTCAATAAAGACAATTTAAATATAATCTTGTATCAACAGTGAGGCACAAGATTTACTTGTTGCATATATAGCAGAGGGTAGATGATATAGCCTATTCTTAAATTTATTTTTATTTTTTATTTTTTATTTTTTTGTTAAAAGCTAACACATACATATTATTAGCCCAGGCTCACATTGGGTTAGAATCATCAATATTAGTATCTTCTACTTCCACCGTTATCCTACTGGAAGGTCTTCAGCGGAGTAACAAACATGGAGCTGTAAACTCTTATGATAACAGTGCCTTCTTCTGGAAATCCTGAAGGACCCTGTGTGAGGTGGTTTTACAGGTTTTTTTTTGTTTTTTTGGTTCCCAAGAACAGTTAACTACTGAACCATATCCCCAGGCCTTTTATTTATGTTTGATTTTGAGTTGCTTAGAGCCTTGCTAAGTTGTTGAGGCTGGCTTCCAACTTGTGATTCTCCTGCCTCAGCTTCTCCAGTTGCTGGAATTACAGGTGTGTGACACCACACCTGGCTTATTTATTTATTTTTTTGCAAGTAGAAGGCGTACACTCTAAAATAACAATAAAAGTACAGTAAATATTTATTATCATTATCAAATGTTACATACTCTACATAATTTTATATGCTATACTTTTGTATGACTGACAGCACAATAGGTTTGTTTATATCAGCATCACCATAAACATGTGAGTAGTATGTTGTGCTGTGACATTATGTTAGCTACAACTTGCCACCAGATGATAGTTATTTTTTTGACTCCTTTATAATATAGGGACCACTATTTCATACGTGGTTCATTGTTGACCAAAATGTTATTGAGGCACATAACTGAATATAAATGTATACATAAAAAAAAAGTTAGAGTAAAGGGAAAGTAAGGGTGTATTGGTGGGAACCAGTCCAAAACTGTTAGTACAAAAAAAACTGTTAGTACAGAGAATACAGTTCATTAGATCCTATGCATCTATTTATTTATTTTGGTGGTGGGGATTGAACCTATGGCTTTGTGCATGCTAACACAGGCATTCTACCACAGAGCTACATCCTCAGTCCCCCATGCAGCTATTTAAAGAAGACTGTATATTGAATTCTCAAGTTATAGTAGCCAAGAAAGAGATGCCAAGAAATTCACTTGACTTACAAGATAAAATTGTGAAAAGCAGCTTTTTCTGGCACTAAGATTTGAGGCATTTTTATCTTTTTTTTTTTTTTAATTGTCAATGGACCTTTTTTTTTTTTTTTAAAGTTGTGCTGAGAATTGAACCCAGTGCCTCACACATGCTAGGTGAACTCTTTACCACTGAGCAACCATTTTTATCTTAAAAGAGGTGTTATGAGCTATTGTGGAAGATATTTTCAATAACTCTACAGTCAAATGGAGGTCCTTTGTTATGTTTTGGAGGGAAGTTTCTCTGAGTGGACCCTTTTTAAATTCTTATAGTCTGATATACAAGCATATAAATGGCTGCCCACTTTATAACTACTGATTATTGCCATAAATTTCAGTGTTCATGTTTGCTTGTCTGTTTAGGATCATTTGTTATATGATTATATATTTCTCTCACTTTCCCTTTTTTCCCCCTTTGGTGCTAGAGATTGAACCCAGTGCTTGTGAGCACATGCTCTACCAACTTTGTTTGTTAAGTAGTGCTGGGCATACTGTGTGAATAAAGGTTTTGCAGTTGTTTGAAATGGGAAAGTAGCAACATTAAGGCATACCAAGCAAAAACAAAAAACAAAAAACTGTTAGGGTAGTAATTACTGTCCTTATTGTAAGAGATGATTTACTTTTAACATTAAGTCTATTATCGTTAAATTGAGTTTTATTAATTTCATATTTTTATATTAATTTATATGTATGTTTTAGTTCTACTGTAGTTGAACTGTCCCCTAAAATGGATGTGCTGGAAACTTAATGCCCTATATAACAGTATTAAGAGATGGGATGTTGACTACCCCACCTTTACCCCATCCCCATACTGGGGATTGAATTCAGATGTTTCATTTTTTGCTATAATATGTATATTATTTAGCTTATGTTGATATATAGAGTTAACATTATTTTACTAATATACTGTTTTCTAATAAAATATATTTTACTATATACTATTATTTTACTAAAATAATAAGAGATATTAATATTGAGAAAATGTTGCTGCTACTTGGGAGGCCGAGGCAGGAGGATTTCAAGTTCAAGGCCAGCTTTAGCAATTTTTCAAGGCTCTATTCAACTTAGTGAGACCCTGTCTTAAAATAAAAAATGAAAAGGACTGGGAATATAGCTCAGTGGTAAAGTGACCCTGGTTCAATCCCCAGTACCTAAATAAATAAATAAAAAATAATTGAGAAAATGTTTAACTTTATACATGTTGAAAGTGGCTCAAAAACTTTAAAAAAAAGAATCAGTTGCTTTAAAAAAGGTCTCAGTTAATATATAATAACAAGAAAAGGGCTGAAGTTCACCTTCATAAAAATTTCTAAAGCATATAATTAATTATCCTTTATAGGAAAAAAAAAAACATTGGGCTTACAGAAGAAAACCAATTTAAATGAAAGTTGGGTGACTTTTAAAGCATTAGTTCTGTTACTCATCTTTCAGTTGTTTCAAATTTGAACTCTGCATGTAAATGTCTGTCTGTGAATAGTTCATAAGCTGAAAAACAAAAACAAATCTTTATCGTCTAGAAATGTATATATAAAATTCCTCCACAAAAAGGTGCTATTCTGTTATTTCCCCATCTTGCTCTTCTTCAACAATCTATGTATTCTTCTGTAATAGCCAGTTGCATATTTATATAGTCATGTACAGATACCAGGTGGCCCTTGTACTCCATTCCCCACTCAGGTTTCACCATCACTGGTGTTCCTGTTAATCCGTTGAGGAAAGGTTTGGAATTGAGGGATAAACTAATTGCGAATACCAGTGAATGCTGCAGGCTACTTACCAATAACCTCCTGAGTGAGATCTGTGTCTTGTGACTGGAACAGCTACTACTGCAGGCCCAAACTGCTAAGCATCAGGAGAAATGCAGCAAGAATAGATTTCTGATAAAAGAATGAATTCAGTCAGCACAAAAACTGACAGGTTCTGTAGCTATATGACAGGATAATTTTATGTTTGCGTATGTTTCTTATAAAAATATTTTCTTTAGTATTGGGGGGTGTATAAGAATTTTAAAAGGGTTTTACATCTTTCTCATTTGAAAAACCCTGCTGTAGTGATCTGGTTGTAGATCTTCTAAGCAGATTTCCCCCAATCCCAAACCTTTCCTCAATGGATTAACAGGAACACCAGTGATGGTGAAACCTGAGTGGGGAATGGAGTACAAGGGCCACCTGGTATCTGTAGATGACTATATGAACATACAACTTGCGATTACAGAAGAATACATAGATTGTTGATGAAGAGGAGGAGGATGGGGAAATAAGAATAGCACCAAATGAAAGGCAGTTTTCTACGTGTACATCATTTCTCATAACTGAATTTTGTTGAGAGTTAGAAAAAGAAACTTTGAAATTATTTTAAAAATTGCCGATTAAGGACAATTTTAACTTACTTTGGAAATTAGAGTAGTCAAAAGACAACATACCCTCGAATAGGTGGCCATTTCATCTCTACATGAAGCAACTGTAGGCAGGACTAGATGGTTATCAAAAAGGATCCTGAATACTGGGTGTAGTGACTCATGCCTGTAGTCCCAGTGACTTGGGAAGCTGAGGAGGATTGCAAGTTGGAGGTCAGATTCAGCAATTTAGCAATGCCTTAAGCAACTCAGTGAGACCCTATCTCAAAATAAAAAATAAAAAGGGCTGGGATATGGCTCAGTGGTAAAGCACCTCTGGGTTCAATCTCTAGTACAAAAAAAAAAAAAAAAAAACAACCAAGGGAGTGTGGGGAGTCTGACTGCTTCAACCCACAAATGACTGACTAACCCAGGCCTCTATCCTTCTCTTCGACCGATAGAGCATGATGCTAGAGAGTTTAATCTGAAAAAACATCAGAGTTCAAGAACCCACTTACTTACTTTTATGGCTAATGAAAGATGCCTGTGATTTGCTGAATTTCAAATAGTGTCATTTCCTGGTAAGTCCAACAGGACAATTCTTTTGAAAAAGAAAACTGTAGCAAACAAGAGTTTTAAAGTACTAAGGAAAACTGTTAGATATTAACTTCAACTTTCAACAATTATTTTTGGGTATCAAAACAAAATATATCAACTGAGAGGATAATTTCTTTTTCTTTTTTTTAAATTTTTTATTTTTTTTTTAATCATACATGACAGTAGAATGCATTTTGATATATAATTTCTTTTTCTTTTACATTCCCAATAATTCTGATAAGAGTTTTAAAAGAAGGATGTAAGGGTTTATATTTCAAGTAATATAATCCATCTGGCAGGATTATGTTGAATCCATCCCTGTGATTCTTAGGGAAAGTTTGATTGTAGATACCATTTATCAGATTAAGGAAGTTGCCTTCCATTCCTTTCTGTGAGAATTTTTTGATTAAATGTTGAATTATATCCCATGTTTTTTTCTTTAGCTAGTGGTAGTTATGGTTTTTCTTTAAATTGGCAATACCATCAATCAATATTTTTTTTATGAGAAAATGGTGTTTTCTTTAAAAAATCATTACTTTTTTATTGTAGTGAAATAAACATAAAATTTATCCTTTTACTAATTTTTTAGTGTACATTTCATTGTATGTTCACATTAGCATCATCCATTTCCAGAACTTCATCATCACCCAAACTGAAACTCTGTATCCATTAAACCTTAACTTCTTATTTCTCCCTGGCCTAACCCCTGGCAACTACCTTTCATTAATCAGTTTTTAAACTTGAACACAATTTGGTCATGGTATATGTTACTTATTAATGGAGTCAGATTATTGATGTCTTGGTTAGTTGTTTTTTTTTTCCCCCAACAATATTTCAGACTATTTTCTAATTTTCATTGTGATTTTCTGTTTTAATCCATGGATATGTATATGTCTTTTTAACTTTCAAATATGTTTTTTTTCCCTAGTTACTGTTTTGTAATGGGCAAGATTATTAGCATTGTGGTTAAAAGTATATGACCTATGCACATTTAGATCTTTAAAATTGTTAATTTTTATCTGCTACTTGGCTTACTACACCCTTTACCCAGATTCCACAGTTGTTAAGATTTTACCGATTACCTTCTCTTATTTATTCATTTATAAGACAATTCTGAATCATTCGACAAATAAGTTGTAGACATAATGCTCCATTTATTTAAAGACAAGGGTACTCTCTTACATATCCATACCATTGCCCCCTCCTTAAGATCAGGAAATGAATATTAATAAAATGCATTTAATTCACAGGCCCCACTCATCTCACTAATTTCTCATTTATATCCTTTGTAGCAAAAACACCCACCCTCAAACCCCTGAGAAAACAGAGAAAACCTCTTTGCTACTTTTTTTTTTTTTTTGGTACAAAGGATTGAACCCGGGGGCATTTAACTGCTGAGCCACATCCCTACTCCTTATTTATTTATTTATTTGGACATAATACCTTTATTTTATTTATTTTTATGTGGTGCTGAGGATCTAACCTAGCGCCTTGCATGTGCTAGGCGAGTGCTCTACCACTGAGCCACAACCCCAGCCCCCATCCCTACTCCTTTTTATTTTTAGACAAGGTCTCCCTAAGTTGCTTAGGGGCCTCATTAAATTGCTGAGGCTGGCCTTGAACTTGTGATTCTCCTGCCTCAGCCTCCAGAGTTGCTGGGATTACAGGCATGCAGCACTACACCTGGTAGCTACCTACTTCTTTTATTTCTGATTCAGGAACTATTCAAGGTTATGCCTTGCATTTAGTTATATCTTGTCTCTTCAGTATACTTCAATCTGGAGTGTTTTTTCAATCTATCTCTTCAATGATCTTGACATTTTTGAAGAGTAAGCCAAATACTTTGCACAATATTCCCCAATTTGAATTAGTCTGATGTTTCCTCATGAGTAAATTTAGATTATGCATTTTTGGCTAGAATATTGCAAACCTAATGTTGTGTTCTCCCTGTATTGTATCAGGAGGCACATCAGTTTATCCCATTACAGGTTAAGTTCAATTTTATCTTGGTTAAGATGTCTGACAGGTATCTATAAAGTATTTTATGCTTACTAATTAATAAGTAAACACTCTACATTTTGCATTTTGTGGGGATGATACTTTAAAACTATGTAAATAGCCCAGTTGTCTTCAAATTTCCACCAACAAGTTTTCATATCCATTGATGATTTGTCTCTGAATCATTTATTACTGTGCTTGTTGCCAGATGGTGAATTTTTAAAAATTTCATCATTCCTTTTGCATTCATTGTTTGACATTTCATTACAAGGAAAAGCTTTCTGCTTTCTCTTCTTGTTGTTTTAAATCTTTAAAAAAATGCCAGCATTGGCTCATGAATTCTTATTTTATTCACTTTTCACTTATTTTAATGTTTCAAATTGTTCCAGATTTGGCCAATGGGAACTCTTTCAAACTGGCTCCTGTGTCCTTTTTTCATGTCCTCATCATTATTTGACCACTTTCTTTCACCATACTTTTTGGCACAATAAGATTTTTTATACTTACACATTAGCTTGTTTCAGTCCTGGAATCAACCATTTTATCAAAGAGCTTTTGATTCTTCTGTTAGAGAATGCATTTAGAAAATAAGATCTGATTACTAGGTATGTTCCTTGCTACCGGTGTGTCATTGCTCTTCTGCCGAGGACAGAAGTAGGATATATTTTTTTTTTAACATGTTTTTAGTTGTAGATGGACACAATGTCTTTATTTTTTATTTATACATTTTTATGTGGTGCTGAGGATTGAACCCAGTGCCTCACACATGCTAGGTGAGTGCTTCACCACTGAGCCACAACCCAGCTCCTAGGATATTGTTTTAAAATGTACCTTGGATTTAATGTATAGGTGTGACTGAGTGATAACACAGAGAAGTCAGTACCATTGAAAGTATATTCCTCACAATTTCCTAGAAACAGGAGGCATACCATGTGTACAGGACCACAGGGAGTTTTCAGAAGGGAGGAGGAGCTAGAGGAAGACATATAAGTGAGAACCTTTTTTTACTATAGTGATGGGACGTTGTTAGGTGGTGACATGTATCCCTTATTAGGCAAAAACCAAACACAGATATTGGGGTCTATGGTTGGGGCTTTGTAATAAGATTTTAGCATACCCTCCAAAACATAGGAATGGTTGAACATCACCACCATTGGCTGTTATTTTAATCCATGCTTTCAATATGCCAAATCATCAATTACAGACTATCAAGAGTATTATTATAGGTATATATGTATGTCTGTACATTCATGTGTATATAAACATTTACAAATATCTTTATCTGCCTGTAAACATTTTAAATGTTAATATTTTATTCAGAAGACTTGTTTTAACACCTGTAAAACATTCGTCTATCCATATCCCTATAAATATTGAAAGCAATGATTTTTCCAACACTGTAGGATTTTTAAAAAAGTCTTTTTCTGTTTTTGTTACCTCCTTTTCTGACATTGAAAAATCTAGCTTTCATCCTTTTTACTTTGTCCCTCTGTAGGTAACTGTCTCCTGACTATAAGAGCCCTCCCCTTGTCCTCAATCCCACTGAATGTATTGGTTAAACACTACTGAAGTTCCATGAGCTGTTTTTTTAAATTCAGTCTTCACTTCACATGGTTCCAATATGCAGAAATTTCCATTACCATGCTTTAATTAAATAGCACCAGTCCCCAATATTAGTAAAATGTAAAATATAGCTTGTGATCAGGAAGTTTCTCCAAAATTTAAAAAATTTACTCTTACCCTATGGTAGCTGATTAATACATCCTTAAACACTACTTAAACACTGTTCAATTAGCTAACTTTTTTTTTTTTTTAAGGAAAATTACTGTCTTTGCACTGTTCTCAGCTGAACTTTACATAGCTCTGCATTTCCCTGTGTCAGTTCCTCTTGGCATGGTGGGTGGGTAGCAGAAGGGAGGATATGTACAATAATGTATTTTTAGTTCTTTTGAAAAGAAGCGTTACTTCAGCCATTGCTATTGATGGCAGGAAGTATATTTATATCTCCAGAGAAGGGAAGGAGGGGTGGAATGAGTCCTGGTTTAAGAAAACCTGAGAGGTTGTACTTCATTTCATTAAAATTAATTTGCACTTCATTGTAAGTTCTTGCCTTAGAAATGTAATTAAGGGCTGGGGATGTGGCTCAAGCGGTAGCGGGCTTGCCTGGCATGCGTGTGGCCCGGGTTCAATCCTCAGTACCACATATAAACAAAAGATGTTGTGTCCTCCGAAAACTAAAAAATAAATATTAAAAAATTTTCTCTCTCTCTCTCTCTCTCTCACACACACACACACACACACACACACACAACTCTCTCTCTCTCTCTCTCTAAAAAAAAGAAAAGTAATTAAAATGAATGGTAACTTATTGTATTTGGAAAACTCTTTCATTTTGAAATTTCAGAGTATACAATACCTGCAATAAAGGGCCCTTTAGAGCAAATAAGGATGTACATGAAAAATTCAGGTGTTTGTTAGCATGCAGTTGAACAGCAAAGATATTGAGGGATACTAAATGTTTACCCCAGTTAGACATTATTCATTAAAGTCTTATTAGTACAGCTTCTATTGTGATTCATTTAAAGAAACCAAAGTAGTGCATATGAATCATAGGATACTCTCAGTCACAGGATAGTCAATTTGAGATTTTCCACTAAGCACAATTTTATCACAACTTTGATTGGGACAGGACTTTTGCCCATGATTATCATAAGCAGTGGGCACATTAAATACAAGTTAAATTATTCTGAAGTTTCTTTATTTTCTACTCCCTTTCTTAGTTGAGGGAAGCAATGAATTCGTTTCCAAGGATACGCCTTCTCTCTTAGCCGGTCTCAGATTGATGCAGTCATGGAAACAAGGCAGTAAACTCATTCTTGGCATCTGCCAGCCATGGTCTGATCCTTTTTTTAAAAGCATGAGATTCTTTAATAATACATTTTGGGAAGGTTGCTGCCAAATGATTCCAAATCATACTAGAGGGGGGTTGGGAATGTTGTTGAATTGATATAAATGAGTCAGGTGTTAATAGGTTGCTAGGTAAGACTTTAATGATTTAACTAAAGTTGTTTGTCTAAATAGGAAGATCTATATTAGAACAACAAATATTTAGTCCTTTTTAATATTTAAAAACACTCCTAATTATAATTTGAGGATATTATTTTTTTTAAAATGCCACATGTTATAGATGTGCTGAGCTTTTATTGAACACAATGAAGATTTTTAACTGGTTGGTTAAAGCCGATCCACTAATGAAATGGAATATAAAATTATTTTGTGGATTCTAAAGCTGGAATGCTTAGGTTCAAATCTCATCTCTGTTACTTGTTTAGAATGTAACCTTGGGCAAGTTACTTAACATCTCTGTGCCTCAGTTTCCTCATCTATAAAATAGGATATAATATTAGCATTGGATTGTGGTACAGAGTACAAGCTGCATTATGTAAAAACACACCTAATTTATAGGGAGCACTCAGCAAGTGTTGACTGCCATTCACAAATGAGAAGTGGAATTACTCTGTACACCAAATAATAAGCTCTCTTTTATCCTGTTTCCCCTCTAAAGATTCAGTATTAGGTTTCCATATCTTAGCAAGGAATTTTTCAGGATTGATTGATTAGCACATGCTAGGTATTCAAATCACAAAGGGGAATAAAATACATTCTTTTCCCTAAAAAAACTTCCTATTTTGGAAGGTGTGAATAAAGGAGAGCAAAGAAGAGAGGATGACCTGTTGTTATAAAACTTAATTCATTCTGTTAAGTGCTACACTAGTAGAAAAATTAAAAAAAAAAACAGAGACAGAAGAGAACACAAATTAATAAAAAATATGTAAGATGTATGAAGAAAATTCTAAAGTTTTAATAAGAGATTTTTAAAAATACAAATATTATAAAGGTATTGTATAGATGTTAATTCTCTCCAAATCATTCTGTAGATTTAATGCACGTTAATTTGTAAGCCCTGGGTGGGGGGGTGAACGTTTTTGAGAACTTGACAAATTGCCTGAACAGTTCCTTTAGAAGAATATATCCAGCTGGGCATGGTTGTACATGCCTGTAATCCCAGCGCATTGGGTTGTGGTGGAGGAAGGAGGATCATGAGTTCAAAGCCAGCTTCAGCAACTTAGTGAGCCCCTGTCTCTAAATAAACTGTAAAAAGGGGCTGGGGAGTTTGGCTCAGTGGTAAAGTGCCCTTGGCTTCAGTCCCTTGTACAGAAAAAAAGAATACATCCAACAGTTGAAAATTTTCAGAAATTTTGAAACAGAAGGATAGTTGGTAGGCAATAGAGGGGAGAAGTATATTTAACACTGGATCCTCCAGATAGCAAAATATATTTGAAAGTTAGATTTGGCATTTGTTTAGAATAAACAAATAAATAATTGGAACAGAACAGAAAGTTCAGAAACAGACCTGGATATGTGTGTATATGTAATTTACATTCTCAACAGGAACATGCAAGTGTTCCCAGGTGAATGTAGCTTGATAGAACACTTGCCTAACATGCCTGGGGCTGGGACCCTGTATTCATCTCCATTAACATACACACATGAGTTCCAGTTCTTCCACATATTTACCAACACTTGGTATTGCCAGCCTTTTAGTTTTTAGCTATTATAAAGTGTGTAGTGCTATCTCATTCTGGTTTTAATTTTCGGTTTTTTTCCTTTTTTTTTGCCCAGTACTGGGGAGCAGACCTAAGGCTTTGCATGTGCTAGGCAAGGGTTTTACCACTGAGCCACACCCCCATCCCTGATTTGCATTTTCTTAACGATGTTTATTGCGCACTGCATTTGTTTGTTTGCTTTTTTTGAGTGTCTCTTTCAATTTGCTCATTCTTATTGAGTTTTTGTTTGCTCATTCTTGTTGAGTTTTTGTTTGTTTGTTTGTTTTGGTTTTGGCTCTATCCCTCCCTCACCATTTTTATTTTTTATTTTGAGACAGGGTCTCACTGAGTTACTTAGGGCCTCACTTAGTTGCTGGCATTGAATTTGCGATCTGTCTCCCAAATTGCTGGTGTGTGTCACTACTCCTTGCTGTTAAGTTGTTTTTGTTGCTTGAGTCTTAAGGGTTATTTATGTATTAGGGATGTAATACATTAATCGTATATATGTATTACAATTACAAATCCAGCCTGTGTATAGCCTTTTGTTGTTGCTGTTGTGCTGAGGATTAAATCCAGGGTTTTGTACAAGCTAGACAAGCACTGTGCCACTGGGCCACTTCCCCAGCTCCTTTTCTTTGTTCCTTTCTTCTTCTTTTTTTAATGGTATCTAAGAGAAAAAGGTCTGTTGTTCTTTTTTTTTTTTTTTTTTTTTTTTTTTACCCCCCTAGGTACTAGGGATTGAATTCAGTGCCTTGTATGTGGTAGGCAAGTGCTCTACCACTGAGCTCTATCCCAGTCCTTTTTTCTTTTCTTTCTTTTTCTTTTCTTTTTTTTTTTTTTTTTGAAACAGGATCTCACTAAATTGCCCAGGCTGGCCTTGAACCTGGGGTCCTTTTCCTCAGCCTTCTGAGTCAGCTAGGATCACACATGTGCACCTCTGCATTTGGCAGAAGTTTGTAATTTTGATGAAGTTCAAATTATTGCATGTATTGATGGTATTATGTGTTTTTTAATTCAAAGTTTTTGTCTGTCTTTGTCAGGTACAATGCTAAAGTGACCACAAGGCCAGCCCCTTGTATAATTTCTATAAGTGTTGGTAGGACCTGTGAATATGACAGAATTTTACTGCAATTTTACCTGACAGAAGAAGTTTCATTGACATAATCTACTAAACAATTGACTTTGATTTAATTGAAAAGAAGATTATGTTGAGGGGTCTGACCTAATCACATAAATCCTTTAAATATAGGTTCAAAGGTCAGAGTTAGAAGAAGTCAAAGAATTTGAAGCATAAGAAGAATTTGACAAAAGGAAGATTTTTCTTTGCTGACTTTGAAGTTTTAAGAGACCACTTGTCAAGGATTGCAGGTGGCTCTAGATGGTAAGAATGGCCCCTGGCTGAAAAGTTGCAAAGACATAGGGACTTTTGTCCTACAACTATAAGGAACTGAATTCTACCACAATCATGTGAACTTAGAAGAGTTTCCCAAATGGTGATATGAACGAAATCTGGCAGACATCTTTAATTAATCCTTATGAGACCCTAAGCAGAGAATACAGCCCTGCTGGGCTTAGAATTCTGACTTCTACACTTAAGGTGATTTGTTATGCAATCATATAAAATTAATACACTATCTCAAGCTTGTGAAGATTTTTTCTTATGCATAAAAAGAAAAAAATATATTAAATCTAGGACTTTGTACATGTTAGACAAGCACTGGACCACTGAGCTATTATCTTCAGCCATTATTTTATTTTATTTAGAGGCAGGCTCTCACTGAGTTGCCTAGGCTGGCCTTGAGCTTGTGGTCCTTCTACTTCAGCTTTCTGAATAGTTGGGATTTATAGACATGTGCCATCCTGCCAGGCTATAGATTTTTTAACATTTTTCTGAGTACAAAATCATATTCTCTAGTAAAGATAGTTTTAATACTTCTTTTTCTAGCTTTATATGTCTCTTTCTAAAATTTTTTCTCACCTTTTTTCTGATTTTAGGAGTGGGATTTAATATTTCACCACTAAATATGATGTTGCTTTAAATTTTTCATAAATGGCTTTTTTTTCAGTTCAACAAACTATCTTATAATTCATAATTTGCTAAGAGGAGTTTATTTAGATTATTTGAAATTTAGGGTCAGAGAACACAAAGTGTCCTTGCATTTTGAACTCAGGTATTTATGTTTTAGCCTTAAGTTATTTTCTAAATCAAGACATTTCTTTCTCTGTGTAGCATTTTTAATAAGTTCTTTAGACATATTTTCCAGTTTATTAATTCTTTCTTCAGCTGTGTCTTCTCTAGTGGTTAACTCATCTATGGAGTTTTATATTTTAGGATATATATATAATATATTTATTTATTTATATTTATATTTATATTTATATTTATATTTATATTTTAAGTTTTATTTTGAAGTTCCATTTGGTTGTTTTGCAGCAGTTTGAGGTGGAGGTAGAAAGGCACTTAAGTGTAAACTATTGAAAAGAGTGAAGGGAAAAGAAAGTGGGAGAAAGTGATAGCTGGACTGGAGAAGAATTATGGGTGTAGTTTGTTCAAAAGAGAAGTCTGTTAGTTTGATACAATTTTACGTGCTCAGGGAGTCAGCATTCAAGGAACATAACTGATGCTACCATTCAGTTTTCATAGAATGAAGGAGCTAGATTTTAATTAATTTTTGGAATAATCTTAATATTATAGCCTCTTTGGAATTATATACTTAATGTTCTTTCTGCATTTGGATAGACCACCAGTGTATCTGAAAAGAGAAATGGACCCAGGCAGTGAGAAACATAGCTAACAACTGTTCTTTGCTGACCCAGTCAGTCACTCTGGGGCATTGGTCTCATCTCTGAAAACAGGAGCATTAACTGAATGGGCTGCATGGTCTTTTCTAAAAGCCTTTAATTTAAACTAGTACAACTTCTAATTAAACAAATGAGGAAATGTCTGTGAAGCCCATAGTTGTATTAGTACCTGGCATTTGCTTTTTATGAAGAACATCAGCAGATTGGTTATATTCATTCTTCTGTGAATTTGTGGACATTGTATACAAAGTATACCAATTTAGCTTGCCATTATAACATTTCTGTAGAGAAAAATCTAGTTTAAACTCTTACTTTCATTTTTTTTTTTAATGTGTAAGTAGAAGATGGTCATTATGGAAAACTTAGTACCGAATTCTAACTTGAATTGGTAATATTTTGTTTTTTTATTGGGAGTTCCTCTCTCCCCAGGGGCAGTATTTGTTTCTCCATCCATGTGCAGGTTCTTTTTTTCTTTAAAAAAAAAATATATATATATATAAGTTTTAGGTGAATACAATATCTTTATTTTATTTTTATGTGGTGCTGAGGATTGAACCTCATGCATACCAGGAGAGCACTCTACCACTGAGCCACAACCCCAGCTTCCACGTACACATTATTAATTGATGTGCTAAAGCTGGGCATGGTGGCACATGCCTAATTCCAGCAATCTGGAGGCTGAGGCAGGAGTGCAAGTTTGAAGCCAGCCTCAGCAAATTAGGAGTCCTTAAGCAATTTAACAAGACCCTGTCTCAAAATAAAAAGGGCTGGGGATGTAACTCGGTGGTAAAGTTCCACGGGGTTCAAACCCTAAATCAAAAAAAAATAAAGAAAATTATGTGCCAGTAGAGTTCCCTAGAAAAGCACACTGAGGTGGAGGGAAGGAAGCAGGTTTGGGTGCAAAGAAACATCAAACTGTAATTCACACCTTACAAAGTCTCTGCCTGCCCAGATTGCCTGATAGAGAAAGGCCACTGGGCTGGAATGGATGGTTGCTTGTACCACCACATTGCCCAGTCATTGGACATTCTTGAGGACAGGGTGACCTCTGCTAAAAGCTGAGGCAGAAACTAACAGAAGGAAGCTGTCAGCTAACCACATCCATGCAGCTGGACAGCATGTCCTTTCTTGAAGAGGGATTTGTTTGTTGTATCTGTGTCTGCCATGAAATAAAATTTTGTGTCTGTCCTTTTCTCTTTAGCATGTGGATTATTCTGTGGTTATTGTGCATGCATTTTAAAAGTTTATAATATCTCAACATGTATTTGGTTTATATATATACCTTCTGTAGGTTGCTAAATTTTTCATATTAGTAAAAATAACAGTGGTGAGATCTTTATATAAGGCTTTTTACAAGGTATTTAGGATTATTTTATCAGAACAGTTTTAGAAACAAAATAGATCATTCTTAAGACCTTTCATGTTGAAAAGGGTGGTTATATACAGTGTTAGTACAGGATATGAGCATTATGACCTATAGCATTAGGCCCTCAGTAGCCTTGAATTTTGTTTTCTTAATCTTGGCTAATTCAAAGCTGAAAATGACATCTGCATTTCTGATCTGTGGTCTCATATGGTGTTTAGTGGGCTTTGAATTGAAGGATGTCTTAACTCAATCCTGCATCCAAAATGATGGGAGAAGTTAATGAATAAATGAGGGCTCTGGAAATCAGATTGATTGGATTCAAATTTCCTGTCTTCCGTTTGCCACTTTGTGACCTTGGGCAAGTCTTGGTATATCAACTTATTCATCTGAATACTGAATACTGGATGTAATAATAATTTATTTCTTGTAGGGCTGTTTTGAGGATTAAAGGAGGTAGAACATATAAAAACACTTAGTATGGGCTATGACCCATTGCATATGCTCAAATATTGGGTTTTATTAGAATATTGGTTATTTTACTGTCTCATTAATTAGGAAAGAACATGTTATTCAAACTTCAAGAAAATAAAAAACCTAAGGATATGGATAATAGATATGTCTTGGATCGTTGAGCTAAATAAATTGCAGAGCTCAGACCTGAAAGTGGGTCTTTATTCAGTGCAGAGTTTTTCAGCCTGTTTACATTTGGAGGCTAGAAAACTCATTGTTACAGAGGGCTGTCCTGTAATTTGTAAGATGTTTAGCAGCATAGACCTCTAGATATCAGAGCACAACCCCCTGCCTTCAGTTATGACAATCAAAACTAACTTGAGACATTGCCAGAAGTCCCCTCCTGGGTTGGGGTGGGAGGTGGGGTGGAGTAGCTAATGGTACATGGTACATAAATGATGCTGTAATGACATTGTCCTAAGTTTTGGGAAAAGGGAATGATAATGATGTTCCATCCTATTCCCATGGAAAGGCCTATTCTCATGAGCTCTTCAGTGATATGAACCAAGATGGAGCTTTGTTCTGTGGCTTCTAGAATTTTAAGCACACTTTTGTGGGACATCTTGTAAGAGTTTACACCTTTCCCTGGAATAGTCCATGGTGTCTAATAGGGCTATTTTATATCTCCTTCCCACCTGCTGCCAATACCAGGGATTGAACCCAGAGGCACTTAACCACTGAGCAACATCCTGGGCCCTTTTTAAAATTTTTATTTGGAGACAGGGTCTTGCTAGGTTGCTTAGAGGCCATTTTATATTTCTAAAGTTTTTGTTTGTTTGTTTTTCAATTTGGTTGCAGGTAGCACAACTTTAAAAAGGGTATTTATGGAATTCCAATGAGTGGTGATGGATGATGCAGTTCAAATAACTAAGGTAAGAAAAATAAAACCAAAACTGTGGGAAGGCCTTGTCAGACAAGTTAATGTCCTCACAAAAAAAGGCTTAAAACCAGGCTCTTTCCCACTCTGTTTTGTTTTCAAGCTGTAAAAGTAGCTTATTTTTTCATGATTAAAAGCATAATTGTAATCCTTCAAGATGATGTTCTCAATGTGGCCATGTATCAGAATCACGACCTTAAAAAAGAAAAAAAGACCAAAATAAATATCCTGCTGTCCTGCCCTTATTGAACTAAAGCTTCTATGGGTAGATGACAGCTGAACTCCAGGTTTTACTGGGCGTGTCAACCATTACTACAGCTTTGGAGAACTGTTTGGCAATATTCACTAAAGTTAATATAGTAAGATACATGAATGCAGTAACCCAGGAATTCTACTCCCAGATATTTGCCCTTGAGAAATGAAAACATGTCCACACAAAGATATATAAATATTCACTGCAGCTTTATTTGTAGTAGCTGAAAACAATGGAAATAAATGTCCCAAAACATAAATAGATCATAAATTGTAATGTGTTTATACAATAGAATTCTACTTAGCAATTGAAAGGAGTAAAACTAACAATATATAATGTGTTTGAATCTCATAGACCTAATGTTGAGTGAAAAGAAGTCAGAAACATACAAATACAAATAGATGTAGTTCATTTATCAGGTAAAACTAAACTATAGAAGTCAGGTTAATGGCTCCTCTGGCCAGAGGTTCAGAGTGGAAGGAGATATGTATGAGGGAGCCCCTGCTGCACTGAAAGCATTTTCTATGTTAATGTGTACATTTACATATTTATTTTTTTTTCTTGTAACAGAATATACTATCATAAAATTTATCATTTTAAGTATTAAATTTTAAGTGTACTATTTACTGGAATTAAGTACATTCACATTGTTGTGAAGCCATTTACCACCATCCATTCATTTCCCTAACTGAAATTCTCTACCCATTAAACTACAACTCCTGATTCCTCGTGTCTTCCAGTCTCTGATAACGACTAGTCTATTTCCTATCCTTATAAGTTTTGACTACTCTGGGTACCTCATATAAAAGTAGTCACAGGGGCTGGAGTTGTGGCTCAGAGGTAGAGTGCTCGCCTAGCATGGGCGAAGCCCTGGGTTCGAGCCTCAGCACCACATAAAAATAAATAAATTAATTAAAGATATTGTATCCAACTACAACAAAAAAGTAAATATTAAAAAACAACAACAACAAACGTAGTCACAGAATATCTGTCCTTTTGTCTGGCTTATACCACTTACCATATGGCATGCGTGCTCTCTCTCTCTTCACAGAAAAAAAAATTGTACTCTCTCTCTCTCTCATATTGGGGATTGAACTACTGAAATACAACCGGATTCTTTTTTAAATTTAATTTAATTTAATTTTTTTAATTTTGAGACGGGCTTGCCAAGTTGCTGAGGCTGACCTCAAACTTGTAATTTTCCTGCCTTAGCCACTGGGATTACAGGTGTGCACCACTGTATTTGGCAGCATAGTGTTTTTAAGAGTCATCTATGTTGTAGCATCTATAAGAATTTCATTGATTTTTAAGGTTGAATATTTTTATATTGCTTATATCACATTTTCTTTATCTGTTCATCTATTGATGGACATTTGGGTTGCTTCCACCTTTTGGCTCTTGTGACTAATGCTTTTCTGAACATGGGTGTACAAACATCTGTGCAAGTCTCCATTTCAGTCCTTCTGAATATATATTTAGAAATGGAATTGCTGGATCATATGGCAATTCTCTGATCCAGCAGTTTTGGGAGGGATCACTGTGCTGTTTTCCACAGTGCCTTAGCATTTTATATTCTTCTCAGTATTATTACTTTTTAATGGCCTTTGTAATGCTAGATTATGTGTTTATGCTGTTTTTTTTTTTTGTTTGTTTTTGGTGTGTGTGTGTGTGTGTGTGTGTAAAGCTTTTTGAAAAATTAGCTTAACAGTTTTGCCTCTTCAGTATGGAAGATGGTGATTTAACTTTTGACAGTTTTGTCCATTATGAAAGATGAGGATTTACCTCACATTATCCATCCGTTTGATTTTGCATAATTTTTAGTTCTCCTGCTGTTTATTAGTACCTTTCACGTACACGTTTCCACTTACTTACCCTGTTAAAATTGTTAACCTCTTCATCCTGTCCTCTGAACACAGACAAACCTTTCATGGTCTGTCCGTAAGTTCTCTCAAAATTGAAAGCTGTTAAGCGGTATTCACATTGTAGTTAGCCAATATTGTGAGGCCAAGCAGTGTTTTCTGGGTTTATATTTCTTTGTTTGTAGGTTTAATATTTGAACCCTTGGCTACTGAAAGGAGAGAAAATTAAAAAGTGAATTCTCTTTTTGAAACTGTCAGTTGCTTTTAGTCATACTATATATTTCATATTTGACTATAACTTTCTTATACAATTTTTACCCCTGGAGTTTCTAATTTTCTTTTGTTTTTGTCTGTTTGTCTATTAGGATCTTACTTTCCCCCAAGTTCACGATCATACAACCTAGTCTTTTAAGACTTGTCCACACCATCCACTGTAGCTCAAGTGTGGTCTAGTCATATACTGAGTTCTAGGCCAATCTGGACTTTTTTTTTAGGCTGTCTACATGTAGTTCAGCCCATAAGAGGGACCAAATTATGAAAGGCTTCCTTTTCAGGCCAAATATTTTGAAATATATAATTTATTTAATGTGGAAACCATGAGCAGGGTGAATGTGACACTTTAGGTAGACTCCTGGGAGTGGGATTGGAGGGATGTTAGTTGAATTGGAACTCAGAAGAAGGCCGGAGTAGTTCAGTGCTATAGAAAATACAGACTCTGAAGTCCCCATCTAAGAAACCTGAAACCATAATCTTAAGACTGGAGACCCAAGACTCTAACTGAAGCTTTTTTCTCTCCTACCCTGTTTGGATAACACTGGGTGTGAGTTACATTTTCAGTTTCTATGTGTGTGTATATGGGGGCGGGGAGGTACCAGGGATTGAACAGAGGAACACTTGACCGCTAAGCCACATCCCCAGCCCTGTTTTATATTTTATTTAGATACAGTGTCTCACTGAGTTGCTTAACACCTCCCCTTTGCTGAGGCTGGCTTTGAACTCAGAATCCTCCTGCTTCAGCCTCCTGAGCCCCTGGGATTACACTATGCCCAGCCAGCATTTTCAGTTTTTTGAAGAAACTTCACACTGTTTTCCATAATGGCTATACTAATTTACAACACTACCTATTTATGCTTTATTGGTAAAAGTTCATCATTAAACATGTTTTGCTAATATTTCCTTCCAGTCTGTGTCATGTCTTTTCATTCTCTTAAAATCTTTTTTACATACCTGATTTTTAAAAGTGGTAAAAGTTTAATTTGTAAATTTATGAGTTTATGTGGGTCTTGGTTTATTGTGATGTCTAAAAACTGTCTAACCCTGGGTCACAAAGATTTTTCCTTATGTTTTCTCAAAGCTTTTTAAAATTTTATATATTGTTTACAAATGTATAATTCTGTTTTATATTTAGGTCAATTTGAGTTAATTCTTATACAATTTATAAGACTTTTGTTAAGATTCTTCACTTTGTCTATGGAAGTCTACTTATTCCAGCTCCATTTATTGAAAAGACCACCCATAGCCCTATTTTGCATTTTATTTAGAGACAGGGTCTCACTGAGTTGCTTATCACCTTGCTTTTCCTTAGGCTGACTTTAAACTCGTGATCCTATTCTCCTGCCTCAACCTTCCAAGCTGCTGGGATTTCAGGTGTGCACCACCATGTCTGGCCCCAACTTTGCTACTTTTTAGTATCATTTTAGCTATTCTAATCCCTTTGTTTTTCCATATAAATTTTAGAATTAATTTGTGTCTGAATAAACATCAATTGTATTTTAAATCTAAACATCATCCTGGGGAGAACTGATATCTATAGATAGTTAAAATGTGAACATAATATATCCTTCTACTTACTTAGGTCTAATTTTATTTGTTACCATGTTTTATTATATTTATACCTATGTATTTCCTATTTTGGGGAGTGATTATAAATGATATTGTTTTTGATTGGTCATTGCTAGAACATGAAAATACTTGTAATCTGTAGAAACTTTATTCCCTTATCTTGCCATATTGTACTGGTGAGGACTTCTGGTACTCTATCAAATAGGAGTGGTGAAAATGAACATCCTGGTCATGTTCACACTTTTAAGGGTAAAATATTCAGATTTGTGGGGTTTTTGTAGATGCCTTTTGTCAGGTAGAAGATTTATTTTTTCTTCTATTTCTACTTTACTGAGGATTTTGGGATTTTATAATACTTTATTTTTGTGAATGGATGTTTGTACCAAATGCCTTTCTTTTTTTTTTTCTTTTTTTTTTAAGGGCAGCCAGGCTTTTTATTTATTTATTTTTATGTGTTGCTGAGGATCAAACCCAGGGCCTCGCACATGCCAGGCAAGCGCTCTACAACTGAGCCACAACCCCAGCCCCAATGTACCAAATGCCTTTTTGCATAGATTGATATGATTATATGGGGCTTTTTCTTTATTTGTTTGTATTGATTTTTTAAAAGAGATTTTTTTTAACCTTTATTTTGTTTATTTGTTTTTATGTGGTGCTGAGGATTGAACCCAGGGCCTTGCAAGTGCTAGGTGAGCGCTCTACCGCTGAGCCACAACCTCAGCCCCTGGATTTTTTTTTTTTTTTTTTAATTGAATCAGTTTTGCATTCTTGAGATAAATCCCACTTGGCATGCTGTGTTGTCTTTTTACCTATTCTAGTATTTCCTTTGGTAATGTGCTGAGGATTTTTGTGTCTGTTTCAAGAGGGAAATTGGTCTGTAGTTTACTGTTTGGTTTTGTTATCAGAATAAACTGTTTTAAAAAAAATAATAATTGGGAAATGTTCCCTTCTGTTTTTTGGAAGAGATTATGTAGAGTTGGGTAGAATTTGCCAGTAAAGCCATCTGGGCCTGATGACTTATTTTACAGGAGTTGAAGCATT